TGCTTTATTATGGTTTGATATGTAGTTTCTTTGTCAAAAATTTTAATCTCTCTATGGCCACATATATCATAAATAAGTTAAAAGATAAGAAACTGAGAATAAATATTTGCAAAATGTCTAATCAACTTGCTATCTAGAATGTTGCCCTATAAATCAGTAAGAAATAAACTAAATTCAGTAGAAAATGGGCAAATATAACAAACAAGCAATTCTTATATTGGCACTAAAATTGTCAATAATTTTATGTATGACATAAGGGAAGTCAGTGATGGAGTTTTTAAAAATCATGAAACTATACCAAATATTTTCCTGTTTCATGGTTTTGCTAATCACCCAAGCCCTGTGCTCCTCCTTTTCCCCCCCTGCCAAGGCCTTCAATACAATTATGTTTCTTATATTTCTTATTGACACTAAAATATCCTCTGGTGGCAAATACTTGGGTACCCAAAGCCTTATCTTTATTGCAGGTATCCAGAGGTGATAAATAACTTTGCTTTGCATTCCATGGCCTACAATGGACTCTTCACCACTGTAAACAGGGCTTTTAATGTCTTTAATAAGAATAGAGAACTATTTCCAGGTAACCTAGTTCAGAGAATCCATCCTTAAATTTCTGTTCCTATAGAATCATTACCAGTAGCTAATTGTGAATCATTCAGGGTTCAGTCAGAAAAGCTGAATACACACATACAGGCACTCACATACACACAACTATATACGTGCGTCACATGTATATAATTTTTTAGAGATTTGACCTTATAAAATGAGAACTATTTCAACAGTCTATTAAAGCTGTTTGTTTGGTGTCTGGTGCTAGAGCTCAAAGTCATTAGGACAGGCAGCCAGGAAGGAAAGGTACAGGAGAAGTGGGGGAAGCGAGATCCAATTGAGATCTGAAAGGAAGAGCTAGAACTCGCAGGACAAACTGGAACTTGTATCAGGTGATCTGCAGGAGAAGCTGGCACTTTTAATCACAGAACAGAACATGCACATGCCTCTGGCCCAGGAGTAAGGGAGGCTGAAGGAGAAGGTCTTGCAAGAGCTGCAATAATGTGGCTGCTCCTTCTCTTCTGCCTCCCCAATCTATTGCAAATGTCTCTTGTGGCCTAACCTAACCTGCAACTATCTAAGGAAGTACATTATAGGAAACAAATTCTAGCTTAACTAGGCTGACACAATAAAATTGAGTATATCTGCTATGTTTTAATTTTCACAAGTACAATTATTTATGTCTGATTTAATTAAAATTAAAAAGAAAATGATGTGATTTTAATTTTTTTAAATCATTTTATAGGACTTGTATAATCAATTCAGAAAAAAAAACCCCTGAAGTTTAATTTTACTTATGAACTGGATTAAAAAAATGTAAAATGAATCCAGGATTATATTAAGAAATAATAAATCAGAGAAAGAGTAATGTGATTTGTCATAGGATGAGCTCATGCCATTAATACATTTTAAAAAAATACCTATAGGTATAATATCTATAGATACAGAAAAAAATAGGATAAAATTCTAGTTACTCATTTCACTTGATTAAGAGTATATAGCCAACTGTTGTAGTAAACTTCTTATTTAGTAGCTAAACATTTTAGCATTTCAGTCAGCTTAATGAGTACTCCTAATTTTTTATTGACAGGCTGGCCAAAGCAATGCTACAATGAAAGAAAAGTGTCGTAAGTTATTTGGAAGGAGTCAGAATGTTATTATTTATAAGCAGTATGATTACCATATAAATGAATGAAAATTAACTGGAAATCTATTAGAATAAATCAGCTAGTTTAGTAATCTAAGACTGAGCTACAACAATAACTGTTCTCCATCAATAAACAACATAGTAACAAATGACACAATAAAAGCCAACTGAATTCAGTAGCCCGTGGGACAATGTCAAGGGTTCTAGTGGCCTTAGACTTTTTCTTTTCTCTTCTTCGGGTGAGAAACACGTAGGTGCCCAGGTTGCTAGATGCCCCTTATCCTGGACTCCTCCCTAAGGAATCTGACTGAGACCACTCAACATGCAAACCCCAATTTTCTTCAACCCTGGCATCCACCCGCGCACGCAGAGAAACACTGAGGAGGTGCTTGTCTCAGCGGCACAGCCATGTGGGGGTGTGTGTGTGTGGAAATGGGCTCTGGCCCAAAAGGGGGTGAAACTAGTACGGGGAGTGAACTGTGTAGATGCAGCCGCAAATCTATAGCCTTCCGGGACCCCCAGGGCTGGGGCAGACACTCACTGGTTTCTGCCGCGGAACGCACCTGCCAAGGTCCAAAGCCGGAGAAACCCGAAGGCGCTGTTCCATCGCACAGCCTTAGGGCCAGGTGCTTCTCCCGGCACCTGGTGGTTAAAATTGTCCCAGTAGGATAGCGGTCTGTTTAGATCCTAGTTTTTTATATTCGCTGCGCACTGGGTGGAGCCCACGTTTGCTATAGATCTTACAGTTTCTGTAAAGTGATGAAACCTTTTCTTCAGGGGTGAGTTTTTCCAGGTTCTCTTTTGCATGCAGCTGCCTTGTAGCTAAAACCCCCCAAACTTCTGACATCCGAAAGTTAATGACTCCTGATCACACGAGGAAAAGAAAGCATTAACAATTAATGAAAGGTGATTTCCTTATTTATACGGAGTATGCTTTGACTATCATGGCTGATCATTTGTTTTTACTAAGATAAACTGTTACACTTAAAACCATTGGAGTCTGATGAAAAATGCATAACATTTTCCTTTCAACACCGCCCGCCCCCTCGCTAAAAGTAAGTGTAATCGCAAAGGATCAGAAGGAATGAAATATATTGGAAAAATTAGTGGCTAAAAAGTTTTCAAATTTTGTGAAAACTATAAATTCATAGGGCCAAGGAGTATAATGAATTCCAAGCAGAATAAATGAATAAACACAAAGAAATTACTCCTATCTTAAAATCACTGAAAACCAGTGGTAAAGAGAACATCTTAAAGGAATCTAAAGTAGAAGGGCACATGTAGAACAAAACAAAGACAGAAAAGACTAGACACGTTTCACTGGAAATAAAACCAGCCATGGGACAACGGGATGACATCTTTAAAGTGCTGACATGTAGAAAGCCAACCTGGAACACTACTAATCTGGCAAAAATGTCTAAAAAAGGTAAAATAAATGGTTTTTTTCCCTCTCAAACAAAAGCCAAGGTAACTTGTTGTTAGCAGACCTGCACTCTAAGAAATGTTAAAGTGTTCCAGGTAGAAGGACAATCGTGTATCAATAGGAGACTTGGGTTTACACAAGAGAATGAAAAGCCCCAGAAATGCTAAGTATGTGAATCAATATGAATATTTTATTTCTCAGTTAATCTTTAAAGATAATTTTTTTAAAAAGATAATGGACTATTTAAACTGGAGAGATGATTCATGGTTTGACCAGTGAGATCAATTAAGTGAGGCTACCAGCTTCAACTCTCTGCTTGCTTCCTAAGTAGACCCTGCCATTTGTTGCAATACACATTAGTGTAGATGAGTGCAGAACTATCGAAATAATTTTGTGTGGCTCAGGTAAGACACCACAAATGCATAATTCATTCTACATACAAAGTTAATACAGCAATTTTCTAATGGTCTTCGCTACATAAAATACTCTGTTGACCACAGCAATTTACATGCTGTTGGAAGACTCTCAGAGGCTCACAGAGCTAAGCTGAGACTTCTTCCCATAAGCACATTTTAATAATATATTTAAGAAAATTTATATGCAAATCATCTCACTTTTGTAAATCAAACCCAAAATCTGCATTTTTAAAAATTAAATATTAATTCCACTAGGTGGAGACATTTGCCCACTTTTGTGGTTCACATTAAAGAGATGAGCAAGCAGTATAGTAAGCAGGGGAACAAATCAGAAAGAAGGCAAATATCCTGGACAAGGCCTGGTGCTTTATATTATATTAGCTGGGCAAAGGTATCCATATTGCTATGCAGTATTTGCTTTTAATGTTTACCAAAAAAATAGTAGCAAATTTTCTAGGTTGAACTAGGTATACATTTAGTTTTGTTCCAATAATTTCAACTCCAAACTAGCCACTATGGGGTCATTAGATTATTAACATGCATCTTAGGTTTCCTCAGTTAATCCTATTTTATAGTTTTTGCATTCAACAATGAGGTATTAAGTAAGGATTTCTAATAATGTATAACACATTTTCACTATATTTCAGATATTTTATATTAAGGTGATAATATAAGGACCATTATTACTATATAATTTTTATGTAATATTTTAGTCTTTATATTAGTAACTTCAGGTAAATTGACACCTTCGGGTTAGGGGGAAACATTATTTTTTAGTGTAATTTTCAAATGACAAAAATGTGTGAGACAATTCGTAAAGTAACTGAAAAATAAAAGGTCCAATGTATTGTGGGAAATTTTTTTTTCAGTTTGAAGCTTTTCATAGTCATCTTGGGTTTCTACTTTTCTGTTTTTATTGGTGCCAACATTATATGGAAACAATATCTTTTTACTTAAATAGGAAATTCATCTGCTCTTTATTTCGTGTTTGAAGTTATAATTCTCTGTGTCATCAGTTAATTTACTTCAAGGAAGTAAGTCTCTGAAATATTGAATTTTCTGACAACAGCCCAATTCTGTTTTTGTGTGATTGATTTTTATAAAAGTCTTTCTTATATGACTACAATTGTCTCTAATTTTATTGTTTTAAAGATACTTTATTAATTATCTACAGCTGTTCTCATAAATTGATTTAAAACACAACAGACTTTTGTCTTCCAATCCCTTTGAGAAAATTTAGTAATTGATTTTTTTTTTTAATATTACATCTGTGGGAAAGAGATGGCAAATCAAATGTTTATAATACAGTATTGTGAGAAAGAATTCTAATTTTCATATCTAATAGACCTTGTATCATTTAAAAATGATAAATTTGATTTATCATTTAAAACAATTACTCAGTATAGACTGAGTAAAGAAAGATGTCCAATTCATCCACAAATCTAACAATTGGTATTCTCTTTAGGATGAAGGCCTGGCCCACCAGTTGGTGGAGCTAGGCTGCCGGGGGACTGGCAAGGTGGTGAAAAGGGACCATTTTGAAGCAAGGAAGACAGCAATAGAGGCTGCAAGGAGGGCAGCTCTAGAGGCTGCGAGGCTGGCTGAACGAACTCAGAAAAAGTAAGTGTCCATGTTCCAAATCTAGATTTTACAGAATATTGTTGAGCCCCTGGAAAAATTCATTCCGTTGGCATTGTTGTAATTTAGAAACATTGGTCATAGTCAGTCAAATTTGAAGGACCCTAAAAGTGTGTTCTGCAGGTCAGGAACTGGAGGGACTGTGGTATGCTTACGAGAAAACCACATGCAATTCTGAGCTACTAAGCTGTGAAAAACTAAATATTATTAGTTTTATATATTTATGTACTAAAAATGAGCGCCTTTTGCCTTAGACTCTTTGTACTTTTGAGGCCTGTAAAGATTTGGCATCTTTATGCTCTCACATTTTTTGTAAACATTGATTCATTCAACCCTATTAATGATCACTGACTTTTGTTCCTCTGACTATGATATGGTTATATAAAATATAAATCTAATAAAATACATTAAACATGTTTTAAAAGACATGTACAGCTAAAGTGAATTGTATGAAACTGGTAAAATAATTTGAAAGAGATTTGACAAAGAGATTATCTATTTCCTTTTTAAAAATGAATGCGAAAGTTGTAAATGTTGCAGAGGATAATTACTTAGAAATTGGTATACTGTTCCTAAATAACATTTTAAAAAGTACCCAGAAATTATCTGTTATCAGTGGTAGTGGAGTTCTTGCTGTGTCATGAGGAAAGAATTTCCTGAGACCCTCACGGAAGGATGCGGCTCTGTTATTAACTTTATTGATGATGTAAAATTAAGGGGGTTTCCCTCCTGACTTCCCAGTGGTCCCATCTTTGTCCATCTCATCATGGAAAAGGTCCAATCTTGTCATTATTAGAGCCATAACGAAGGCCACTGCCCAGAGCTTCTGCTCCATAATAAAGTCCAGTCCAGTCCAGCATCCGGCCAGCTTAGCGGGTGTTTCCAGCTGTAGTCCATTGCTGTGCTATGGCATTTGGGCTTCCCTCTGGAGCCTGCATGTGGAGTCCACATGGTCTTGGACCATGTGGCTGCTAAGGCCACATAGCTATGGAGAGACAACGCACAAACGCACAGGGTGAGTGCATCATCAGGTTGGTGAGAGCGAGAGAGATTCTTTTTTTCCCTGGGATTATATATCTCAGGCTTGGAAAAGTCCAGAAGCTTTTTAAAAATGACCAGTCAACATCCCAGGCTTTCACAGGCTTTTATATGTTTACACCCTCTAGTTAGACTGACAGGCCTCTATGGTTCAGCACCTCCCCTTACACCCCCACCCACAACAATCCAGAGCTGGAAGCAGGAAAGGAGGAGTGTTAATCCCCTTGGTGGAGCAATGCTATGATCCCCTGGTGAGTGAAGCTGTAGTTTCCTAGTGAAGCAAACAGGCTCATGCTCCCCACTTTATTAAGCTCAATGTCTAATACCTTTTGTTCTCTTTCCTTTATTAATAATTAGCTAAATATCAATGGTAGTAATTATGAATGGACATCATCCATGTCTTTTTTTTATAAATAAAAAATAACATTTGATAGTGGAACATGAATTGGTTCTGGAAATGTACAATTTTAATTAATCTAGTGGTAATTATGTTTCAGAACCATAGAATATTGGAATTTAATGTACTGATATTTGGTAATATATTAAGTTTCTATTGCTACTGTAGCACATCATTACAAACTTAGTGGATTAAAACAACACAAGCGTATTTAATTATTCATAACTCTGTAGGTCAGAAGTCAGAGTATAGTGGCTCAGATGGGTTTTTTGCTCAATATATCACAAGGTTGAAATCCTGATGTTGGCTGGGCAGAGATCTTGCCTAGAGGCTCTGAGGATGATGACTCTCCTTCCACGCTCGTTCAGGTTGCTGGCCAAATTCAGTTCCTTGTGAGTATAGGACAGAAGTCCAATTTCCTTGTCAGCTGTCATTTGGGGACTGATCTTTGCTCCTACAGGCTGCCCTTTTCTTCGCATGCTTTCCCCGTGGTTCTCCACCAGGAAGTATGGGTCCGGATCCTCTCACCTTTCAAATTTCTTTCTGGCTTCCCCACTGCAGCATCTTCCCTGACTCCAGCCAGGGAAAGATCTCTCCCTTTAAGAACTCATGTGCTCACGCTAGATTCATCTAGATAATTCAGGATAATCTCCGTATATTAAAGTCTGAACCTTCATTGCATCTGCAAAGTCTCTTTTGCCTTGTAATGTATCATATTAACAGGTTCTAGGGATTCATGGGCATCCTTGGGAGGAGGGCATTCTGTTTACCACAGGTAATTTATGTAAAGCTTCAATATCTTATTCAACACAGTTACATTCTACTTCTATTCTTAGTAAATTGAAATGATGCAAAGTATTTGTGTACAATGTGTCTGTCTTTCATAAAACATTAAGGGAGTCTTTCTCTTTCTATAGATATCAATCAATGCTTATTAGTCAGGGGCAAAAGTAGATATTTATGAAATTCTTAATAAACAATTAGTGTTTAAAATCCAAATTTTACCCATTTACATGTCCATTTTGTGCTGAGGATCAAAGTGAGTATTTACTCTATGCAATAGACTCTTTAACTGGCCAGAGCTGGAAGTCATTAGACTACATAAGTGCCAGTCATGGGAGACTAATCCCTACCCAGAGCTGCTAGGACTGGAAGGCCCTTTCATCTGCAGATCTTCTCAGCCGCCCTTTGTAACGAGTGGGCTCCATATGTTTCCTCTTGCCGCATGTGGGAGTCACTTTGCTCCTAACCCTGCCAGGTCCATTGTCGTGTTATTGGCAGCAGGGCCAGTAGAGAGTGTTCCAGAGCCCAACATGTCCTGTGTCTGTATTTGCTGGAGGACCACTGTGAAAATATGCACAAATGTCTGACTGCCTGCCAAAGGGTACCAACTTGGAAATACTTGATTTTACTATCAAATTATCTACATTAATGTCTCTAATGTGCTGTGAGCAGCCCCAAGTAGATCACAATCCTCTGTTCAGCAACCACAGAGCAACCATTTCAAGAAGTGCTGGCACCTAAGTGTATGTCATTTGATTATAAGTTTCATAGGGGAAAAGAGTCTGGAGAGATGAAAGTCAAAGATAGCCAGAGGGGGTATTTTGATAAGTATTTTTTCCAGAAGAAGGCATAAGGTGAAGAAAATTATCCTGGGCTATTCAGTCACTTTGCAAATACTCATAGACACTCATACTGCATTAGGCACTATGCACGGTGCTGGGCTAACTCTAGAACATAACAAGACCGAGGCCCTGGTGATCCTTTTCTCTTCAGGCTGGGGTTGCTGCATTTGTCATTCTCATTTAAAATTTTTTAAGGGAGTACCAAGTGAGTTTTAGTTTGTCGCATGTTCCTCCCTACCCCCATTCTGTAACAGCAGACCTATTTCTCCTGCTGATCAGCATCAATTAATGTTCACAAGTTAGTGTCCCCTCTCCTTGCCTGCTTGTCTCTGGGCACAAGAAGCCCAACATACTCATTTGGCAGCCATAACTTATAGTTCAGTGAGACACGATGTTTTCCCTGGTGACAGTGTCTTGAAGAATGGCACCTCATTCTCGGAAAATACTGTCTCAAAGTCAGCAATTCAGCCATGCCTTCAATGCCCACCTTGTGTTAGGGTAATGCACACCTCTTATCTCCAGGGTTGAGGAGCACATTGCTAGAGGGCTCGTGGTGAGAGATGAGCCCCCAAATCCCATCTTGCTGCCAGCTTCCAGGCTACTCCATACACAATATTTACAGACTGGCCCCTCTGGGAAGCAGGCACAGAGATGGAGTTAAGAATTCAGAAGGTTAACTGGGAAGTAATATAAATAAGAGGAAAAGGGTAGAAGCAAGATTGAAAAGGGGTAGCTGTCAGACCTTAATGCTTGCCTGGAAAGTCTCTGCCAGACCAATGGAGAATCTGCAAAGCAAAGATTGCCTGTTACAGGGGTCCCCCATTGGTAAACCCTGTCATGCTCACTAGCTTGTGAAGGCTGCCCCAGAAAAGCATGACATCTGCTCAATTGCTGGGGCTGATCAAGAAGGAGTGAACTGGAAGTTGTCAGCTAACATATTCTGTGAAGACAGGCAGCGAATTCTTTATTTTTATAATTCATTTCTGTTGACAAAAGTATTGAGCTTTTACTTTTGAAAGATATTTTTGCTGGGTATAGAATCCAGGTGTCAGATCTTCTTTCAGCTAGCAGCAATCCCCGCACATCTGTGCCTTGTTGGTAGGGTGGGCTCCCTCTCGCTCCCTGCTTTGCTCTTTTGCCAGCAGCCAGGACTGAAATTTAATGTTGGTTCACTTAGTTTTTGTTCTGCCAGTTGCCATGTTCTGCTTCTTTAGCTTGATCAAGATGATTATCTTTTATGCTTTCACCTAGAAAGATGAATCATTTCTACCTCTTAGAGTTGTAGGGAGTAAGTACTACAAGTGATGCCCTGTTACTCTATGCATATAAAGTACAGTTTAATTAGTTCAGTAATTTAAAGCACTTATCTTCTAATCTCTTAAAGTTCTTCTTCCAATTAAATAAGCATGAATACTATCAGTTGAAATTCTCTCTGTGTAAGTTCTTTTCTACAAGATAATTGGTTTTGTTTCATGTTTATTAGAATTATAACTCTTTGAAACAAATACTTGTGTGGAACTTACTGAGAAGTCATTTCAAATACAACATTTTCCAAATAAGATCTATGTACAAAAACACTGACTGGCACTGTTCTCTCCTGTGTTTAAGGGTGTGATAAATCAAAAGATTATTTCAGGTACACTCACTGAGTCAGAAAATTATACAGGGTTGGGCAAAAGTAGGTTTACAGTTGTAATACAAATAAATAATACAATAATTAATAATAATGCAATAATAAACTCTCTGTTTCTCATACTCACAACTATAAACGAACTTTTACCCATCCCTGTTTATAGGTAAATGCTCACTGGTAAATATTCAACTAGTTGAGTATTGTAACATCATTGAAACCACACAATGAATTTTTCCTCCTTTCCTCCCTTTCTCCTTCCTTCTGTATCTTTCTCTTTCTTTCTCTCATT